CCACCTCATCAGTGTAGTGAGTCGGTTTTCATCCTGCTCTGCCTTCATTACCTGCTCGTACGTACTTTTTAAATGTTGCTGGCTCCAGAGCACTTGTTGGGTTAGAAAAAACTCAAATCTTGGTCCTGTTTCTTTGATAAATGACAAATTAATGATCGAAGATACACTTGTTGGCAACTTTTATCCCCAAAGAGACTTATTCAGACCCATTTCCTTCCTTTAACCTCCACTGCATCCATTGAATTTATGTCAAATTCAGCGTTTTCTCAGTTTAAAACGTCCGTCTACCTCTAATCTAAGACCTCAATACTTTTTCAGTTCTCAGACACGGTTTCCATTCCACTTTCGGTTAATTTAAGAACCCGGGTTAAGGGAGAGGAATCGGATGAATAAGTTCCTGAATTGTCCGTAAAACAAATGTCAGCCCTCCGTTGTGTCCGCGCTTAAATTCGTCCCCACGTTGCACTTGAAACAGAAGCACTTCAGTCAGGGAAGGAGGAAGCGTTAAAAGAATCCGACGCACGTGTTGGACGGTCGGTAACCAGACGTCCTTCGCTCACGTCTCCGCAGTCCTTCCCGTAGATATCTGGTTTCTCACAGTGTGAATGCAGGAGTCAGACGGTCCTGTGCCACTGTTTGGTCGATGTAAAACTACTCGAAAGCTGCACAAAGTGGGAAGAATGTATTTTAGGAAGGTTCCTGTCAGTGTCTGCCTCCTCTCGTCTGCTCTGATGCTTTCACACATACAGTATTGTGACACACACACACACCCCTCCCCCCCTAATTCTCTGCGTGGAATAGGCATTCCTATGGAAATGGTTTCCTCTTCAACTCTGTTAGACGCAGGAACTCGACAGCACCTGTCAGTAGTTTCCTGCAGCGACGACGACAAGACAACATGCCAAATACAACCAATGCATATGTAAAGTTTTTTATGCAACAGCCATTCAGTGGAGCCGACAGTCCCTCCTCTCTCACTGCAACCAACAGGTACAAGGTTAGGTTCTTTTATAACATTGCTCTCAAGATGTTAACATAATGTATATAACAGAGAAATGTGAATATGTATTTGTTCAGAATCAACAAAAAAAAGTAGTGCTCCGAGTTTGTGGTAAATAACTACTCGCCTCCGTCATGTTTTTATTTTATGTTTTTGATTTTCTACTTTTTTATTTTTCTGATGATGTATGTATATGACTATCAGTGAGTGCGTATGTATGTGTGATTAATACTGTATATCTGGTGTTCTCTAAGATGGAAAAGTGGAAGATGTCCTGGTTTGATTCTTTTCTTCTTTTACTCTTTGGACCCTGCACAGTACCTGTGGGTGTTTCAGATAACTATGCCAGAGAATGGTTTAGCGACTGCTGAATGTGATTTTACTGAGAGAGAAGCAGTGTGGACTGGCTTTTTGTACGGGTTAATTTAAAAAAACAAAAAAAGGCCATATTATTTAATTTTCTCTGTTGTCAAAAGTTTAAGCAGATCTGGGAGAGTGGAGCCTTGGTTTTGATGGAGGGGCATCGCCCGGTGTGCTTTTTTTTAAATTTTATTTTCTAATTGTCTGACTGATGTAGACTTTTTTTGCATTCGTCAATAGTTAAATGACCAAAGCTTCAAGATGTTGGATGGATTTCATATGCAAACCTCATCATCACTGGACGGGACGTAATGTAGCGGCCCTGCGTTCTATTTGGATTTCCTCTCCTCTCTCTCTCTCACAGTTTTGCATGTTCATCTCTCCTTCTTCCTCTCTCTCTCTCTCTCTCGCTCTTTCTCAACACGCCCCCCCCCCCTCAGTTCGGTCCTTTTAGAGGCGTCTCCCGCTTTGCCATTAAGTCTTTTGAGCCTGAAGTGCTATCAATTCGTTTACAGGAAGACAGAAAACCTTGCAACCGTTAGCTATGCACCTTACCGATACAAGCATCAACACTGGAGCGAACCCCGAGTCATTGATTTCATAGGCAACGTATTGATAGTAAACGTCACACACACACACACACACGCCACAACGATCCCGTCAGTGACTTCAGTTGAAATCCGATGACCTCTCAGCTTCTAACGCTTCTTTTTTTCCATTCACTAAATACTTTATACCAAACTTGAGGTGCCTCGTGTATATATTTTCTGCAGTGAAGGTCGCTCCTTTGCTGTTTAACAGTAATAACCTTGTTAACCAGGGTTTTTTTAAAACCTTTTTTCACCTTTATAAAAAAGAAGTTTACTGTATTTTAAATGACTTTTTTACTCACATAGAAGATTAATCAAATTATTCCAGGAATTTGCAAATACAATCTAATTTTGCACTTTATATCGGATTTACTTGGAGTGAAAAGGCCATCGCAAGCTTTCTCAATCAGATCAGTAAAAGTAACGTCCCCTGAATGTACCAAGACGATGTACGTTTTATTAGTTTGATTTGAATTTGCTCAGGTTCTTAACGAAGAACTCGACAGTGGGGGAACCCATCATCCAAATAACGACAAAAAATTGTAAACACTTCTTAGTAATGTAGATCTCTCTCTGTCTCTTTCTCTCTCTCTCTCTCTCTGTCGACACCAACCGATCCTCAGTATAAATACTATGCCAGTCTTCTTCTTCAGGTGACGTCCCCGCCCTCCGCTCTGCGCCGTCAGCTGACGCCAGACGTACTCTTAAAAAAAAAAAAACCTCCTCTTGCTTGAATCTCAGAACATTCCTGCTCACAACACAGTTTCAGCAACACTTTGCTCTGTAGCTGCTGCAGAGCCGCTCAGCGTTCACGTTTTCTCTCCCGCGGCTTCGAACGTGTTTTTAGTAAAAGTCTGTCTGTGCGAGACTTTGCAACAATTGTGCACTGACATAACCGACGCCACGTTAACCGTGTTGTTTGTTTCCTCTGTTTGCTTCTCGGGCCAATGCCTGGTGTAGGATCGGGCTAATGCCTGGTGTAGGATCGGGCTAATGCCTGGTGTAGGATCGGGCTAATGCCTGCTGTAGGATCGAGCTAATGCCTGGTGTAGCTAATCATTTTTGATGTCAGCAAAGTTCATAGCAAAAAAGTGAAGGAGGATGCAGTTCTCAATTGTCAAATTTAGGTATTCTCACTTGTCATTGGTCCAGAGTGGCGTTCCTTCACCGCTAAAACGCTCCACAGTCCTTTAAATCTTAACTCCCACTCATTCCTCGTGCAAACATTCAAATCTTTGCTCTTCGTGAAACCACAGCTTCAGTTGTCACGTATTGTCAGTGCTGCCTTATCGGGACTGAGGTCGGAAATGGTTCAGAGATTTTAAAAGAAGGCTTCTTATTATTAATAACTCACCACTCTGTTGTTTCGGGGGCGGTGATGCTTCCTCCGGACCAAGGTTCCACTTTCTCCCTTGTACAAATTAATATAAATAAATATATATATAAATATATATTATACATTTTACCCATTTTTGTCCAGTTTTGTATATTACACTCATGTAAAGTTTGTTTTTAATGAGGCATCGGAGCAGCTATTACAAGACAATATGAGTGACATTGTTCATCTGGGAGAATTTTATGCATGTTATATTTTCTCTTTTTCTCTCTCTGTCTCTTTTAATGCCCCCCCAACCCCTTGTCAAGGTGTGTAACGTGAATATAAAGAAATCTACCTTTTCTTTGGAATGTTGTAGACAATCAGTCTCAGGCCGGGTCCAGTCCCTGCAGGGAGTGAGAGCCCTGCAGGCTGATAGACAAACAAAACTCTCTTTTTGTTTGTTTGACAATTAAAAACTCTCTTTGCATCTACTGGAAGTCTAAAATTGGAGGTTTGTTCATTCATATGTTCGTGGCTGCTCAAGTTTACACACACATACATACACACACACACACACACTCACAAACACACACTTCTCGACTACACTCAAAATACAAACACCTCGTGCATTTGATCCCTCTGCTTTTTTTTCCAAGGTGAGGATGCCAACCTTGAGGAAATGATGCTTTGACTAACAAATCTATAACATCTATGAATGTGGGAATGCAACACATTGCAATAAAAGCACCATTTGAAATGCAGCACGTTGTTCCTGTTCGTTCTTGTCCACAGTTAGAGAATTTTAACAACAAGCAGTTTGCAGATGATGTGGTTGTTATTCAGTCCAATTAAGTGTCACTGCTTCACACTTAATGCAAAGTCTCGATCATAGTATAACTAGTATTATTTTTATTACAATATAGAAATGTAAACTGACTTGAAACAAATCTGTAAAAACTAACACATTTCAGCTTTCATCAGTGTTTTCTGATTCCTTTATACAAACAAATTACCATTAAAAGTACTTATATATATATATATATATATATATATATATATATATATTTATACATATACAACCATGTATCTAAGGTTTTCTCCTAAATGTGTTTTTCAAGAGACATTTTGAATGGGTGCCTTGTGCTTGTTTACGCCGCTCGCACAGAGAGACATTTCCTTTAAGAGGAAGGACAGAGAGAGAGAGTGGACCAATTTCAGAGAGAGAGAGAGAGAGAGAGTGAAAGACCTTTCCAAAATCTGCTCAATTTTATAATCATGCATGATCCAGGTCGGTGACAGAGAGACTTGACCAATTTCAGAGAGACAGAAAGAAACCATGTTGTAAAGTCGTATCACCATCCATGGCATTTAATCTTACAAATTCAGCCTCTTTCAGGCTTCCTGGGAACATCCTGTAACTATTTGTGGATTTTATTTTGAAAATCCAGCATCTTTTAGGCTTCCTGTGAATATTTTGTAACTATTTGGGCGTTTTATTTTGAAGGTCCAGCATGTTTTAGACTTCCTGGGAACATCCTGTTACTATCTGGGGCTTTCATTTTGAAAATCCAGCATCTTTTAGGCTTCCTGGGAATATTTTGTAACCATCTGGGGGTTTTATTTTGAAAAACCAGGCTCATTACATGTTTCCTAGTAAATTTAAACTCCTCCCCTGTCAGTCTATGGGGTTGCCATGGTTACTCACTGATTAGATGAGGAACTCCTGCTGCGTGCTCACTTTGGAGACTCAAACTGGTTTCAGACCACCCCTCAAACAAAAGCTTCTAACTCAAAATCTATAAGTCGTATCTGAGAAATAAACACATTGTGAGAATCACAAGACTTTGGCCGACGTCCACATATGTTTATATTTAATAATAGTTAAGAAATTATTAGTTTTCTCATCAGGAATCATTTTTGGACATCTCCATTGAAGTCCATGAAAAAGTTAGAGTGTGCTGCTCTAGCGCCACTCTTCAAACAAATGCTTGTAACTCGAAAACTATAGGTCCTATCTGAGAAATGAAAACATGTGAGAATCCCAAGACTTCCCCGAACGTACAGGTTTTCAGTGTTGACTGATTCCGCAGTAAAGAAAAACACAGATGGATTTGAATACTGCAGTATAAGACAAAACAAAAACTCAATTCAATTCAGTCTCTACATTTGTGTGTGAGAGATGATTTTGTCGTTTGTGTGGACGGTGTCTTTGTGACTCTTGTAGGCCTCTTTGTCGCCCGGCGTGGGATTCTTGTATTCGCGGTACTCCACGATGGGGTAGGTGACGGCGGTCAGCAGCAGGACAGCCAGCAGGATGTACAGTTTGTAGCTTAGACACAGGAAGCTGCTGTAGGCGAAGGCGAGGACGAAACCCAGAGACTCCCACATGCGGTAGTTGGCAAACGCTGCCTCTTTGTCCCGAGGGAAGAGGACGCCGTAAAGTGCTGCAGGACAGGAAGCAGAGAAGAAGTCACACAAGGGGGAAGTTCAGGTGTTTCAGTGTTTCTCATCCTGAAATATTTGGTTTGTGGGTTTTTTTGAATCAGTTTTGCTTCTGTCGCTCACAGAGAATCCTCTGGAAAATCTCCTGGCTTCTCACATGGGCGCATTCAGACATTATGTGGAGTCCTTACTCGAGGCCTGGCAGGAGACACTCTAGAGAAAGTGGCTCTTACGTACTCCGGAGAATGTCAGGAGATTATCCAGAGTTCAGCGCAGGTCTGAAAGCAACATTCTGGTCTTGAGGATAAACTCCAACAGCTATCGGACAAATTATTCCACAGATTTACGGTAAGATCATTTTCTGTGGTAGCGCTCAGAGCCGCCATGTGCTGTGAACACACTGCACACCAGGGGGCTGGTGGGAGATTCTTACCGTTAGTCTGAGGTTGCCAGATAGCGTCGGCCGCTCCCCACAGAGCGGAAAACACAAAGAACACAACCGTCTGATCAGGTTCAGGCCTCCACAGCAGCAGAGCGATGATGCAGGAGAAGTTGAGCAGTGCAGCTGAAAACCGACAGATTCAACACGACGTTAACAGAATAAATCTTTCAAACCCGTCGCTCATTCGATGTCTGTGTAGCTTTACCGAGGAGGAAGAGAGTGGCTCTGCCCACGTACTGAGCCAGTCTCCCGAAGAGGAACGAGCATAGAGAGTTCGAGGCTCCGAAGCACATCATCACGTAGCCTACGAAGTGGATCCCCAGAGCGCACGTTACGTAGTTCTGCAAAATAACAAAGACACAGAAGATTTGTGAACACATCAAATTATTAGGGTTTCCTCCTCTTACCATCCAGGTCAATCATCATCTGCACTTCCTGTGGTTCACTTCCTGTTTGCCAGACTGACCTTGTATCTCCCCGTGAGTATTTCTACTCTACAGTATCCTGTGTATTGATTGGTTTGAATTACTCTCAATCCTTTTTCTTCTTCGCCTGCATCGTCTCTTTGTAAGTTGTGTCACATTCAAACCACTTCATGCTCTGAATTCAGCTCAGGAAACAACCTGTCGTGTGTGTTTCTGGTAAAACCCTTCATTAGAGCTACAGCGGCTGCAGCTCCTCTCACCCTGGTGTACTCCCCAGCGATGAAGCTCTGCTCGAAGCCGTTGTAAATGGTGAGAGGGATGAGCATCAGCAGCCTCCAGTCTTTCAGAAGCCTGAACGTGGCCAGAAAGGTTCGACTAAAAGGTTCCCGGCTGCCGCGGAACTCGCTGGCCTGCTCCTGGTCGATGTTGTCCAGGAACACTGAGACGATGAGTATGGCCACAACTCCCACACCTGCCACACAACAACAACACAACAACATGTCCGTACACTGGGACCTCATCATTTAGTCCCTGACGCAGAGAAGACAACAACGTTACCGATGTAGCATCCGAGGAGCGTCCACACCAGTTTCTGAGCCGGCCTGGTGGGGACGGAGCCGGAGCTGGAGTTGAAGTCACAGCTGGCCGCTCCGCAGTAAATCAGCTGCTCCTCTGGGATGTTCGCTGCCAGAATAAAAAAAAGATAAACACGTTTATTAACTCTGATAAAACGACAGAACGGTTGATCTGCAGACACACAGGAGAAGGAAGTAGATCCAGAAACACGTCAGACACTCAGGAGGAAGTAGATCCAGAAACACGTCAGACTCTCAGGAGGAGGAAGTAGATCCAGAAACAGATAATGGGCAGATCTAAGAATTGAAACTTTTCTTTAACACAGGTTCTTTAACGAGTTACTCGCTCTCTGAGTGTCACCACGTCTCTCTTCCTTCTTACTTATGTTCAGGTCTTGTCCGAAGATGAGCGACGACATGAGGTTTCCCCACACGGCCGATGACTGGAAGATGAAGAAGAAGATGCCGAAGTATTGATTGATCATATCGGGGCCCTTCCTGCCTTCCTTGGCCGCCTGAGCGTTCCCAGAGATGGTCAGGTAGATGCATTTGGCCGACCACATGGGAGAGCCTCCCAAACCCACGATTACAGAGGTGGGCATGAGGGTGTACCTGAGCCGAGGGGAAAAGTTACTGGAGTGCAGCGGCGTCGTTAGCCCTGTTTTAGGGGGGCTGAAGCCCCCCTAAAATGTTCTTCAGCCCCCCCAAATAATTATTGGGATTTTTTTTTAATTTTTTAATTAAACTATTGTTTTACACATGGACAAGTTATTTCTAACATGCTACATATGTGAGTGCGTTTCTGGTTTGTATGTTTTCTCCCCCTTCAAATTACAATCCAATAGCCTCTCATCATACTTAACAATGAAAGACAGGGCACTAGGACCTTGGGGTGTCTCTCATCAAGTCAGCAGGAGTTTAGCTCACAGGAAGTGATGCACGGAGGGAGATTGTAAGTACAGGTAGTTACAGAATTTGGCTATCTGTAGTTGTTAACGATTGTTACCTGCTTAAATTTAGGTTTACTTGAGGCAAATGAAAGGGAATATTGTAATGAGCTATGTTAACACTAAGCTTGCTAGCTAGCTATTTTGTTAGAAAATGTCTCCAGTGAGCAAGAGTGTGAACGAGCAAATTTGAAATGTAAGAAATAACTATCAACAGCTCTCTATTCTTTGCATTAATATCTATCTCTAGTATTTTAAAACAATAATATCAGTGCCTATAGAATGTTGTTGTTTATAATCAGGTAATGCTAGTGAAAACCAAATGTCATAGTGTCCCTCATAACGCCATTGTACCGGTATATCATCCAATTCATCGACCAGATGGATATGAGAAGATTTTTTAGCAGAGGTGACAGCTCCGCCCAGTCAGATGAGAGAGAGAAGCAGGAAACTGACAGGGCTGAAGGAGCTGGTGTGATGGAGGTTAGTGGTCTAAAGGTCTAGAAGGAAACGAGTGGAGTTTTTTTATTTTCTTCTACTGTGAAATGTATAAAAAATGTATAGGCCCAAATGAGTCCAAAAAGAAATTGGCGCGCGCTTTGCGCGCAAACATTCCACACCCTTGGGGGCTAAGTCCCCCCTTTCTTTCAATCCTAGAAACGCCCCCGCTGGAGTGTGGGATCAGTTTTCACCTCTGTGTCTGTGGATTGGTTGGTTTGTTCGGTTCTGAGCTGGATTACACAAATCAACTGAGAGCAAATCAAGAAACTACACGGAGGGATGCATTATGGGTCAGGAAAGAAGTCGCTGAGTTTTGGATCCAGATCAATATTTATAGTTTTCAGCCTTTTCTCTCTCGGAGGTGTGAGATTATTTACCATCCTGGGTAGAGGTTTGCCAGGGAGTAGGAGACGTAGCAGACCATCCCGACGACGATGGTCCATTTACAGCCCAGATTTTTGATCATGATCGGCGGCAGGAACATGGAGGAGACGATGATGGAGGCGTAGATGACGCT